TACGTTTTGAACTCATATGGATTTTTCAAACCGAAGGTGTTAATCCATGGTGTTATCTTTCATTCAATGTGGTTTAATGGTTCATTATATATATTCATCGGCTGGTAGCTGTAAGTCTGAAACGAAACATGAAAGTCCTTATCACTTTATAATAAGTACAGTAAATACCATTTAGTTAGCCCAGAATAATAATGTTGCACTTACGTGCGTTTAAGTCAAATAGTATATTTTCCTGTTTAGGCTCCTTTTGACTATTGAAAAACACGTCCGTGTTCCTATTTTGTATTTTCTAGCTTCGTAAGTCTATTCATGTCCTGGATTATCGGTCAAATGACCAAAATGTGTTGTTGATGTCTTCTCAACGACAATCACATTACTGTCGGAACTGCATGTTCAGGTAAACTGCATCTACTCAACAGACATCCAAACAAATCGCACTTGACTATCGAATGCTGCAGATTGAGTCATTCGAACTAATCCGGCTAGCAGCAGTATTACTTTCATTGTTTAATTTTATTAATATTCGACGTTTCTAACTGTGCAAAGTTCATTTTCAAGAATAAAGCATAAAAATATAAAATATATAAGTGTACCAGCGTACGTAGACTGATGATAAGTGTGAGGTTTTGCATAACGATCAGTTATATTGCGATGAGAATAAAAGCACGTCCGGTATTGAAATACCGAGGACTGATAAAAAGAAACAGTTACACTCTTTATAGAAGTAATGGTATTATTCAACATAACGTAAACATTTTTGTTTAACGCACCGTTATTTTGTGTACAATCAAACAAGGTAAGCTTAGAATAAAAAGAAGAAAGTAATGAATTAATTCGAGTGTGCGGTTTTTTATATTTAATTATTATATTCAATACACAATCTATACATCATCACTATCTCTCCCATATATCAGTTTCGCTATTATTCCATGAGATTATCGAGCTGAGAATATGATGGAATTGTGAAAGAATGATTTTCTTCCTCTGCAAAAAAGAAAAACTAGACTGAAATGTTGTCAGTGCCTTTAGATTTTGTAGTCGATAAACTGACATCATTCATTAATTAATTCGTAAATAACAATAAATATAGTAAAAACGAGAGTCTTTCAGAAACGCCGCTGACCACTCAGAGGTATCCAATATCCCCGACTGATATCAGTGAAAAATAACGTAGTTCATCTATGTGACAACGGCAAATCATTTAATAAGAACTGAGCTAGAGCACTGCAGTTTTAGGTACTTTACACTTGTACCCGTGTTGAGCAGAAATAGAACCGTACCGAACAAGATTAATAAATAGGAGATTAAGCGTCAGAGTAATGAATCCCAAATGAATTTGACATTGAATTTGACAATACAAACTTCCCCTTGTACAATACGCTTGATACCATGAATCTGTTATACGTTCTTTCTAATTTACAAGTACTTCCAGATTTTAGATTGTCAATCCAATAAGTACAGACACAGATCGGTAAAAAAATTTTCAAATTTAGACCATGCACGAATTTGTACTTTTTAAATTTTTCATTCTAGACCCATAACGGGTGTGGAACAACTTTGCAGAACTCTACATATAAAAAGAAAAGTTGCAACTTAATTAAATTCTAATATATTCACACTCTGATTGCAGATGAATTAGCCGAGTACTTTGTAAAAAGAAGGAATCTTTTACAGAAAACACCATTTTTCATTAATGCTCTTACCAGGGGTCGCGGGATGGGACGAAAATTTCTACAGAAATATATTTTCATCTTGTGCCGCCCCATCTTATGAACGTTCGAAAAATTCTCATCCCGTCTTATGAGCTTCAAAATATTTTCGTCCTATGAGATCCCATAGGATCCTATTAAAATGTTTTTCTTACAAACTAGTTCTTGTTAAGCAGAGTTTCTGCGGCAGTTGTTTTTCTAATTTCAACGTATGAAACTGTAAACATCTGCTATTCTATATTACATTATGTTACATTTATAAATCACTGGATTTTTGTCCTAGAAAAAGATAAGCTACCCATTAACAGAACAAAATAAAAAGCAACTAATGATATCTGTCATTTTGAACTATTCATCTTTTCTACTGATCTTATAAATAGAATATTGTCTACTTATTCTGAATTTAAACTTGTTCGTCTTCCGTTACTCACATTACCCGCACCACTGAACTGATGTTCCACTCTGATGTTGCAGGAATTGAGTAAATTTGTCAGAGATAGAACAAAGATAGAATACTCAAAAGAATAAGAGAACAATGATAAAACAGCCTGGATAAGATGAAGTACAATACATATATGTAAAAAAAGAAGAAAACTTACTAGAACAAAATAGAATATAGATCACTACGTACAGACAAGGAAGAAAATATCATGTACTAAGAGAATCGGACAAGGTTACGAACCTGGTTATGTGACCAACCGCATGAAATATAACAAGCCGGGTGACCAACACATGACAACTTCAGCTTAGTTTATAAGTGAATCTAAAAAATTCAACAATACAACAGACTGATTTGCCATGGAATGAAATTTTTGTCCCACCCCATATATAGTTTCAAAACTTTTATCCTATCCCGTCCCGTCCTACGGTTTGTTTATCTTGTCCCGTAGTATCCCATGAGATTCCTACCTCACGACGACCTGGCTCTTACACTGAAAAGATTTTGAGACATTATGAAAAACTTATTTTAGACTTTTCAGAATTTCATAAAACTCTTCAGGTTATTTGAAAGAGCATTACAAACAGTATTCAAAGGAGAGCAATTGCAAAGATTTCTTTTAGAAAAATAAATCAAATTTCGCTTTTTGGTCGAAATCAATAAAACATGAGTTTTCTTAGATCTATTTTAGAGCCTCTACGAAAAATAACACCAGTTTTCGAGAAAATTTCTGAACTTAAGAAACTCCCTAGATCTCAGGAATTGAGTACAATCTTGAAAAAAATGGAGAGCGGATCTTCTTTCTTCCGTTAGTTGATCGTTCAGTCTGACTCTTTTTAATGTTTGTCATTTTGTAATTGATTAAGGGATTGAGAGAGGTTTTCTTAAACTTCAGAAAACAATAGACTTTTATATTGACTCGAAAGGCTTGGTAAAGGTCAAAAATCAATTACTAAAGCTTTTTTGAGGATCTTGAAAAATAAAAATCTTTAAGGTTTCTTAAGAGTTTAGCAGCTGTCTAAATCTCAAAGCAGTGGAATAAATAGTCACTTTCTTGAACTCCTAGTTAGTGCTGTAGATGACGCATTTTTTTTTTTTGAGTGGGTATGTAGTCAATAGCCCTCAGAACAAGCTATTGCAAAAATTCAAGTAAAATTACAGAAGTATTAAGTGCTGGAAGAATGATCGAAGATTACTTCTCACAGGGTAGATAGCCGATTTTTGTAATCAAAGCGAGTGTCCTACGGGTAACCTCCAGTAGAATAACCATCACTTTAATGTTGCTAGACTAACGAGAGAAACTCTCGAGGTGTTTAATCGCTTTTGAGCCGATGTTTCGCCCACAAATAGGGGATTTCTGTACTCTATTCTGTAAGAGTGAATCTATAGATATAAGCGTGTATTCTCTCTCTCTTGTGGTGGTGTTACTCCAGGTTGCAGTGTGTATAAGTATGTTTACTTTTTCTACTTTCCTACAGCAGCTCTTTCTTTGTAAAGTCAGCTTTGTTTGTAAAATAAAATCAAGTTCAAGGATCTCAAGGCTAGAATAATCCTAAGTTGGTTCGGTTGTCTAAGCCTCTGGAGTCGAGTTATGCATTTTTCAAGTTTTTGTAAAAAATGCAGCAGACTCACTTAATCCATATGATATCTAGCACGATATACAAAAGTATCGGCTCAGACGGCTAGATATACCCCACCTAGTAAATGAAAAAATTCTATGTACCATCACAGGATCTGTAAAAAAACATTTCTGAAAACCTAAAGATCTTGAAATTCATTTTGAAAATTTTTTAACCATACCAGTGAATAACCCGTGCAATTCTGCACAAAATGAGATGTCAACCAAGGTTCCATTAAAACATAATGAAGAAAATACGAAACGGATCAAAACTTTAGCATGGAGTGAAAACATCTCAAAGCATTTATGCCAATAATTTTATAAAGTCTATAACTCAGTCATTTATATGATGGAAAGTTGGTTGACATCTCGTATTTTGTAGAACTGAACGGGCTGTCGACTGGTGTGGTGGGAAAATTTTCAAAATGAATTTCAAAATCTTTAGGTTTTCTGGAAAATCAGAGTCTTTTTCCACAAACTTGAAAGATACATAACTCGACTTTAGAGGCTCAGACAACTGAATCAACTTAGGATTATTCTAGTTTAGAGATCCCGTACTTGTAGGCGAAATATCGGCTTAAAAGCGATTAAACACCTCGAGAGGTTCCCTCGTAAGCTTATTATCAGCGAGAAAAAGACATCAGGCGATAACTGATGCTTTTTTGGACGGAGTAAAATTTGTGATCGTTGCGAGAAACATCGTGTAGCATCGAATAATCCAAATTTTTGTTGACACAATTTTTGAATAAAAATTAAAACAAAAATACACGTCACACGATGGATTAGACGAAACTTAAACGAGAACTTTTTCTTTTATGTGATCGTTAGATAATGTAGATGTGTTTGATTTTATTGCACCATTTTATATGTTTCTTGTTCTTTAGGAATATTAAAAAATGAACAGTGCACTAATGATGTATCTGGTCTGTTATTTGGTTGTTGCTCTTACACTAATTGTTGTTGGTTCTATCTCATACAATGGTGTTAAAACTAATATTAGTACCAAAGATGATAGTTTTCTTGTTAAATGGTCGGTAGCAGTAGTCATTTTTCTTGGATGTGCATCGATCTTAGTCTATTGTTTTGGTATTTCTCAAAAATGGATGAGATTTAACGATTTTATAATAAAATTTTTGATGTTGCTCATTAGTCATATCATTTTGGATATTAGTGCCATGATAATTATTGTAAAATTAAATCGACATGTAAATGATGTAACGGCATTTGGCAGTTATTTATCCGGTTTATATTTAATTGTTTCATTATCAATTATTTTCCAATTAGTTGGTATTGTCTATTTTTCAATTGCTAATTGGTATGGTGATTACATAGATGATTAAATAGTTAGCAAGATTTAGAAAAACAAACAAATGACAGTTTTCAAGTGATTTTTCATTCTTAATTTAATAAACATAATCTTTTCCGTTGAAAACAGTTTATTCTTAAAGCTTATGAGTGATGGAAAGGCAATTAACGTTGGCTCGAACCGCACTGAAATAGAACGTAGTATGAACCCAGTGGCGTTACTCTTGCACCACAACAACTCCTTTTCGCCTCAAATGATTGTATCATAAACAACAATAAATTCTACACTCTGTCTTTTTGAAATACCAGATTCCAGTAGAAAATTATGAACATGAGAAAGTATTACCAATATTAATGTGATACTTCCACTATGTGCTTTTCGCTAACTTTCCTGTGGAGGATAAAGCATTCTTCTTGATGCTCTGTTCATACAAACAAACGTTGAGTCCACTAACTATTCTCCTCTTCTGTATTGAAATAAACATATTTCCTTTCAATGCATTAGCATAGTATCACTCTACAACTAACTATTTTATTACTTTTTTTAAACATTTAACGAGAATGAAGAAATAGCAAAAGATTTATTTTGTTTTTATTAATTTAATCACTATTATGTCTGACGATCAGGGTTATTATCAGCATCTCTCCTAACACTATCATATCAAGAAGATCGAAGTATAGTAGTTTAATATCAATCATACCTCAAACTATTTCTTTTGAATACATAAAATTAATCATCCTAGACACAAATTACGATTTAGTGTATTAAATCAAGATTCATATCCTGCTTAGTTTATTTATTTTCATACAAATGTTCGGTTACCACAGTTGTGCGGTATTTGTTTCCTTTGTTTTTAATCTCCTTTCTATCTTCATTATTCAAAGTTTTGAGTCTTAGGTAAAACGTCCGTCACCACTTCACCGTACTAATTCCAAGTTCTTTTTTGTGCAACTATAATGTGTTCATCTTCTTTTACATATATATATGTAAAAGAAGATGAACGCATTATAGTTGCTGCGTTATACTTTTCGAAAAATTTGAGAATTAATGGGTCAAAAATGTAACAGTGTCACGCTTGGACAAGCCGATATGTTGTATGTATTTTGTAAATGTTTGTATGTAATAGAAATCTTTACTAGTTTTACCCGTGGAATAACTCGGATTCATTTAGCCGCAGCCTCGAAATGAGCTTGCTTTCATCTTTTATAACGCAACACCTACATTCATCAGGCCATACGTCCCGAAGTAGGTTCATCCCAACAAGTTTTCTTTACAGTATTTTTATATATTTTGGTTTCTTATGAAGTCCTATCACCATAATTGAAAATAAAATTTATTAAAAATGAAGTTTTATGTTCAAGAAACTAAAGCAGATGATATGAAAAAGTATGTGTTTGCTGCTGAATAATAAAAATTGACAAAACGAAAAAAAAAACGAAAACAATAATATTTAACAACTAAGAACAAAAAATATCAGAAATAGTGACACATAAGATTCTCTCAAGACAAAATATCGACTTCAATATCTTCATCACATTTCGTCAATTCCATCACTTCATGTTTTAAAAAAAGACCCGATTTTTGTTCTTTCATTGCTTGCCGCTGTTCTTTACGTTGACGTAATCGTAGAATTTTCTCGATTCGTTTCAATGGATCTTGTTGACTGTTCGTACCACCAGAATTTGCTGATGATGATTTATTTGAGAGACTATTTGTCTCCGAGAGAGTGTCCTGTTTAGTATTACAAGTATTATCATTAAAGGTTTCAACATTAAATTTGATAATATTTCGAATACGTCGATATTTTTCATCATTCATTGATTGAAAATCTAAGATAAATTCAGTCTGATTTTTTTGAATTTGTACACCGTCTGGTTGTAAAATGCGAATAATTTCTAATTGTTCACGACGTCCTAAATATTAAAATATCACTTGAAAAGTATCTAGAATAGGCATATATTTTCAATTAACTTACCCAATTGTTCATTGATAATTGTTGTCAATTCTGTGATAGTATTTGATTGTTCATCTGGTGACATTTTTGCCCATGTTTTAGTGATTGATGAACGTTGTTTTTTTCGTACTTGTTTTGGACTTGGTGGTGCACTTCGACTTGGACGAGAACTCGTAGATGTTGAATCGCCGATTGTTTGCTGTTGTTGTACTGTAGATAATGTGGTCTCAAGTAAAATTGGTTGTTGTGTTTGTTGTAATTGTAGTGGAAAACTATTTTGAGGTGTTTGCGTTGAAAAATCGAAAAAAGATGAATAATTATTTAATGATTTCGTGTCACTATTCACCACGTACGAATCTAGACAATCGGGTAAATCGTAGTCGAGAAAATCAGAGATGTTTGAATTAATGAAATCAGCTTCGATACCTAAATAGATACGAGTTCTTCATCTATCTATTGAAATAACTTCTTTAAAACTCACCTAAGAACATATCATCGATCGTATTACTATTTCCCGTTCCATTACCCATATCTAGATATAAATCATCTGAACATTCAGATAGTGTTCGTCGATTCATTAACGACTGTAACGTTGTTAAATCGGGCTGTGAATTTGATCGTGACATGCCGACAGCTGCTAGATTTAAAATATCATTATCCAAAAAATTTTCCATAGATTTTGTTGGATCAGTAGTGTATGATGATAAATGACTACTCATAGTAGAGTTAGAAGAGGTGGAAATAGAGTGATGAGTAGGTGTTGATAGCATAGACATCCATGGACTTGTAATTGTCGACATTATATTGTTGTTATTATGATTTAAACCACTGTCCACCCAAGAGGAGACAGGTAACATCATTTGATTTTTCTACAAGAAAATAGATATTAAACTAATGACCTACGATGATGTAAAATTCAGTTTCAAGACGACTTTAGAAAATATCAAAAAGACACGAAAAGGTCAAAAAATGAATTATATTTAACAGTTTTTAGAAAACGCAAAAGTAACGCGTTTAATTGAACAATTTCTTTAAACAAAATGTCCCTGAGTAAGAATACAACATTAAATGTTATATTTTTATTCTATTCATTCTAATCCGATAATAATGTTCGTTTACACCAGAATCGAGCACGATGATCATCTGAACATGATACAAATGCTGGTGTTATTGGACTATGTACAATACATTTTACTGGTGCATTATGACCCAGTCCTAGCAAACGTTGTCTTTCAGCATTTCTCGAATTCCAACAACATAGACTTGTCGCTTTTTCATCTGGATATAAAATATAATCTTCAGTATGATTAAAAACACATGTAGCCCGATGTTCTTGTTTCGCCATTGAACCAGCGCCAGTATAATGAATTAGACAACGCTAAAGAAAAAAAAGCTACGTATGTTATTGAATAAATAATTTAGAAAACCAATCGACATACCGCTGTCGATAATTCCCATAATCGAACTTGTGAATCTTTACCACTTGTTAATAAATATTTTGAATTTTTAGTAAACAATACACTACAAACTTCTTCATTTGCATGGGCATTTTCAAACGTATTTACACAACGATTCGTTACTCCATCCCAAACTTTAAATGTACCATCTTTTGATGATGTAGCAAACATTCGGCCATTTGGTGACCATTTCAAACACGTAATGGCTTTTGAGTGTTGTTCTTGTGGTTGAGCTGAGACAAAACATTTGCCAGTTTCAACATCATACAGACGTACAATCGGATTTTGAGTACCAACCAATAACCAATCACCTGAAAAGAAGACAATGATGAGTAAAGATGGAGTTGAGTGATCAAACAGTTTACTTTTTACCTGATGGATGAAAACTTAGACATCGAATTTGATCCACTTCTGACATTGTTCGAAATGACTTTTTTGTAGTTGGTTTAGCATATTCAAAAAATTTAATTGTATAATCTCTTGAACCACTAACCAAAATTGGATCATAGGGATGAAAATCAAGACATGTTACTTCGTCAGCATGATCGTATAATGTACGAATAACCGGATGATTTTCTAAGTTTTGATCCGATTGAGATGGAAAATCCAGATTTTTGATTAACATTCTAAAATAGACATAAAAATGATTCTCCGGAGTGGCTGACTAATCAAGGACCATTTTAGTACGTAGTATAGCTACGGAATCAAGTTGAAACAGTACAGGGCACTATAATCGACTACTCAACTAACGAGAGAACCTCCCCAAATTTTAACAAAATGTAGTGGGTTGTAGGTAATTGACCATGTTAATTTCGAGTATGATATTCATTTGGGTTCATAGGTCTTTCCTTGCCGATTTATGAAAAACCAGCTTTCCAGCAACCTCGAAAAATCCCCAAAACTTCTTCTAAATAAGTCACAATTATAGCCCGCGAAATTCTGATCAAAATGAGATATCTCCCAGCTCTACACGACCTTTCTATGCAAAGTTATAGAATTTACAACAAAAGTTCTAAATTCATTTTTCCATTTTCTTTCTGTAGCTCTGAGGTGACAATGAACATATAGGGCTTTTCCTGTAAACTCTATAACTTTGCAAAGAAAGATCTTGTAGAGCTGGGAGATGTCTCATTTTGATCAGAATTTCGCGGACTATAATTGTGACTTATTTAGAAGTTTTGGGGATTTTTCGAGGTTGCTGGAAAGCTGGTTTTTCATAAATCGGCAAGGAAAGACCTATGAACACAAATGAATATCATATTCAAAATCAGCATGGTCGATTACCTACAACCCACTACATTTTGTTAAAAAAAACGAGAGTACATTTGGGAGGTTCCTTCGTAGGCTCAAGTTATGACATTGAGCTAAAGCAATTTTTTATATACCTGTCTACATCTAATATTTTAATTGAAGCATCAGCCGATCCAGTGGCAATAACAGATCCTGTTGAATCGAATACAGCTGTTCTACATGGTGCTTTATGAGCGGTGACATAACATGTTTCATAAGAACCAGCATCGGGAGTAGAAATTAACGAATCTGATTTATAATCAAAATCCAAACCTAAATAGAACAAATATTTTCACTTCTCCGTTCAAACAAAACAAACATTTTCACACATAATTTCAACTATAATCGTACCAATATCTTGAATATTTTCAGTTACAATTGATGTTGTAATAGATCTTTTTGTACTTTCGATATCTTCTTCTGCTTTCAATCCTAGACGAACAATGTGAGTTAAACGATCCGATGGAGGGCACGGTGGGGCAGTCTAAACAAAAATGATGATAATTAGAGAAAAAATAAAATAAATCATAGCCAGCTATAACGACAATAGTTTTCTCACACGGACCTGTAACAGATTTGATAATTGAACGGCAAGCTGTTGATGTCCATCATAAAAGAATTGACTAATAATCAAACGATACGTTGTCTCTCTTAGACGAGTTTCACTTCGGATCTAAAGTAAAAGTGTATGAGAATATTGATATGAAATGTATTAAAAATAAATACGTACGATTTGATTATTGTTAAGAGAGTTAAGAGAGGCAGTGGTCGGTTTCGACTCAATATTCATTGCGGGCTTTAGATCTAGAAGATAAAAAGATAAATAAACTCGACAAGCTCGGACTTACGATATTTCTGGGAGTCAGATTTCGATTTGAGATCTTTTTTAAAAAATCAGACTTGGGCTTAAGTTTTTATGTACTTCGAGTCTGATCGATTCAAGTTTTTAGATAAATGAACAGAAAATTTTGATTTTTCCTTTTGTTGTTCTGGGTTCAAATGCTTGTATGTATCATGCAATTTGATTATAGGCTACTCGTTCAATATCGAGAACATTACTCGCTCTAAATATTGTGATGACTACAGTACGTTGTTCGCTAGTAAATAAGAAAAATAAACTACAGCAATAAGGAAAGGATCTAAACATTAGTGAACTAGGATTGGACTCTGGACCCGATTATAAGTATTTAGGACTTGGACCCGAATTAGATTTTTAAAGATTCAGACTCGACTTGGATAACCCTCCGGACGCGCCCAGCTCTGTAAATGTATTTACTGATGAACTTAAATGGAAATAGCATTCAGTAGTCAAAGATACGTTTTAATCAACTACTTGCAAAAGCTAACACATTTTTGAACTTCGGCACGTATCGGACGAGTATTCGTTCCATACCGTACATTACAGAACACATAAAATCAGTGTTTCTAATGATTGGTAAAAAAACTGTGGAAAACCATTTTACTTAAAATTCTCATTAGAAACACTGCACGAAATCACAGGTTTAATAATAAAACAAATTAGTTTATTACATACGATATTGTCTACACTATGATTTCATTTACAATGCAAAATAGCTGTAGAACTATTGAGGTTTATTTGTATTGTAATGAGATAACTACCAGTACATAGGCTGATATAAAAAGCTCTAATCACCGAGAGATAAAAATTCGCTATATTGATATAAATTGAGATGCATTAATGAGAAAAAACTTTTGCCTTAGTATCTGTTGAAAATATGTAAAATATAGATCATGTACAAGTGTAAAACATGTGAAGTAATCTTATGGGACTCAATTAACAATCAAAATATCCAATTTCAACAGAATATTTCCTTCTCCACTCTGACGCTAACAATACTAATGAGGGAAAAGGTTTTGTTTTTGAATAGTTCCATTGATGAAATATTGAAACATAATTATTTCCTTTCGAAAATGACCAAAAAATGCCTAAGAGGAAGTCATTTAAAATTTCAACAAGTAAGATTCACACAATAATATAAAGCGAAATAAAATATGCGTCATCCTTCTTTTTAGCATATGTCAGACTCTCTAGCATATGATCAGTCGAGAGAATGGACCATTCTTAAACCACTTTTTGACCGCTGCTAAAGTACGATTTTGGTGTTTTGCAGATGGCACTACCATTCAGTAACTCTGATGGCAATAGTTCAACGTTTACTACTGTTCTTACTATTCTGATTCTAAAGCAATACCTGTTCGATGCTTACAGGGTTATCAAAAAGATTCGATTTTCATTTTTTTTCTCATTATTTCGAACTAAATTTCGAAAGCGCATGCTGCAGTGTGCAGGGGTTGCTGGCTGTGGCGCCCTAGGTGACAACCCTGCGTTAGAAGTAATGAAAATGTTGCTTATCCCAGTTTAGAATGCTCCGTGAAGGAAATGCAGTATTACCTCAAAGATGTAATTTTGTCCAGACTTTTGCTGAAAAATCGAAAACTACTCGATATCTATCAGCCGATAGACTGGAAAAATGTGATATGATCTTAATTTTCGTTGTGATAGAAGACTGCTCTAACCTTCGCTATATATTTGAATTCCAAAAACCTGAATCAAGATTTCTGAAACAATGACTAGAATTTACCACAGTGAACTAGAGACATAAACGAGTTGAGAAAATGTAAACCGAGCTGAAACCGGTTGAGAAACGGTAAACTGATCCGGTCTGAAAGTGTAACTGGGCCAGTCCAGCCGGAATTATAACTCACACTGGTGAAAAATCGGCGAAAAACTGGCGAAATTTTTTAAAAATCGATTTTCAGAACCAAAAAAAAGGGATATTTCACAAGTAGGTTAAACTGATTCTTATCTATCGATCGATATAAAAATATCGATAAAAAAATAAAAAAAATTATCTTAAAATTCATTAGCGTTAATTAGTACTAATCAATCTCGTTCTCTTTTCTATATATATGCTTTGGAGTAATTATGATCAATCCGTGAAAATTACATGGAACAGACAGAATATGACGTGTGCCGGTCTCTAGAAGCCGACTTTTAGTCTAGTTCAAGTGAAAAATATGATCAGAATATTATAATTAATTACATATGTAAAAAGCGAACGAAAAACGCGTGTTTTTAACGAGTACTGTGCATAGAATGAACATCATTAATTATAAATGCATTTCTGTTCATTAAGATTAGCATTTTTTAAAAACACATAATGTCAATCGTCCCACTTGGAATACAACACACAACATACCCAATGACACAAAAATGACGTCGAAAATATAACTGTTTGTCAAAAACTTGAAAAAGATGCTTTTTTTACTAATGATTGAAATAAGATACTATTTAATTCGTATACAAATTGAAATGATAAAAATACTAATCGCATATAAATGTACAGAAGATACGAGTGCTTATTTTCAAGTGGGACGATTGACGTTATGTGTTTTCAAAAAACTTGTTGGTCTATTAGAACAAGAATTTGATAATGTACATGAAAAGTTCAAGTGGATCGTTATCCGACTGCTACTTAAGGCTCTAACTTAATTATTGTGTTAATCTTAATGAACAGAAGTGCATTTATAATTAATGATATTCATTCTATGCACAGTACTCGTTAAAAACACGCGTTTTTCGTTCGCTTTTTACATGTGTAATTAATTATAATATTCTGACGACATTTTTCACTTGAACTAGACTAAAAGTCGGCTTCTAGAGACCGGCACACGTCATATTCTGTCTGTTCCATGTAATTTTCACGGATTGATCATAATTACCCCAAAGCATATATATAGAAAAAATGACTGTCTCTTTTAATGTTCGTAATTTCTCATTAATTAATTCAGGTCAAGTCCGAATGATGTACAATTCACATGAGAAATAGCGCTAAGAATTCTCTACAAAACTGTATATATGACTGCGAAATTAGTTGTGTTTTCGCGGTAAAACATTTGAAGTATTAGAGTAAATCGATTTTCGAAACCTTCTCCCCTATAAATCTGTTCAAGCATAATGTCGTACAAGAAAAGCATTATGAATTAAAACAAAAGACATCAATAAATTTTTCAGAAAATTAACATCTCCTCATCATAAATCGAAAACTGTCGAACTAAGAAAATGCCATAAATAACTGATTACTAGAGGTCGATTTTTTGCGAATTACATGGTTTTATGATCTTTCTATCGAGCTCTATATTTTTTCCATCGTGTGTGTCGCTCAATGAAGCTACCATTTGATGCGGAAAGTAAGCTAGTCTAGGAGAGTAGAAAATGCTGCATCTTTTGATTATAAACTGAGCCTTTGAAACATTGCTTCAGTTAGAGAAGTTTAGCTTTCGAAAGTGATTAGTTATTTCTGGGCCACCTGGTATCTACAGGGTGTTACATAACCTTTTTCTCCCCCCCTACACGACCTAAAGGACAGATAATATCAGAAAGTATTTATACCAGGTTAAAGCCCATCAAAAACTAGATTTATGAGTGTAATTGATATTCCG